TTTATATACTAAGTTTAAAACATTATTCTTGACTAAGGAATATCATTCCTTAGTCTGCAAGTAGTTTCACTGCAAAATTTAGGTACTATTGTTGATGTATATTATTTGATTTCACTTTTGTTATCAGATTATTCAGAAGTCAACATGGAATTATCAAAAAGAATAAAAGCTCTCTAAAAACTGGCTAATATTTGGGACTAGATTATGCAATACTAGCTTTAAAATTAAGAATAGTATTTTAAAAATATATAGATTCCCAAAATATTTCTTATTTTTAAGGTGAAACATTATTACTTTTTCAGTTCCCTTCCAAAAAGAATTTTAAAACATTCTAAATGTATTGAAGGTAGTTTTTTTTTAAACAAAACCCTTTACTTGAAACAAATATTATTTTAATTTCAGAGACTATTTTAAATCTACTTTAAAAATGCTTATTATTTAATAAGTAAGACTTTCATGCAGTTGGGCAATAAAGGCATGCTTCTGTTTTCTTTCATGAGGATGAGAAAACAAAAGATAAATTCATAAACTTTTCAAAATGAATGGCTAAAGGAAAAGTGAAAAATGCTTTACTTTCAAGCCAATAAATGCAACAGGGTGAAGAATATTTTATGTATATTCATAGAATACTATATGAAGGGTAGGAAAAGGAAATCTGTGTATTATTTGGGGAAAATTTTTTTTTCAGATAAAAATTATAAAGATATGGTAGTTTTTAATGTTAAAAAACAGTGTATATATGTGTATGTGTATTTAAAATGAAATACTTTAATCTCTAATTCCCTCACCTCACCATTTAACTAATAAGTCATCTTGTTGAAACGAATTATTAAAAAGTGAAAGTTGAATTTTCTACTAATAATACTACCAACAATGTTAAAACAAGGTGGTGAGCATTCAAAGCTAGTGCTGTGGGCTTAAGCTTTCAAGCGCCTCTAGACTTCGGGTCATAACTGCAGAGCCATGGTAATGATACGGTTTCCATAGCAACTGATTCATTGGAGGGCTAGACCTCTGTCTAGGGTGCTGTCAGTGTATGTAGAGTTTCAGTGAACAGAAAGTCCCAAAGAAGGGTCTGCTTCCACCTAATCCAGTTTTAATTGAACTCTAGAGACTTTGAAGTGAAGCCTCGGACCAGGAATATACTATTCCAATAAGAAATAAACCTCTTGTTTAGCGAGACCTCAGCTGCTTTTCAGTACTGACACCTTTTCCTAATGAATACTTTAACGGAACGTTATTATATCAATTTCAGCTAGTAATTCTGTTACTTAGGAGATTCTTTGTTTCTATTTTAAACCCTAGCTATCTTTACCATAATATAGGTTTTCATTTTTTTTTTTAAGTCAGGGTAGTCATTGTAAGATTTTAATTTTTGATTTCCTTGGCAGTTTTAAATAGTTTTCTGTCTGCCCCTCCTATTTCTCTTTCTCTGAGTTTTAAAACATGACCAGACCCATTTATATTTAACTTTGGAAGTAAAAGAAAATGTCTTATAGTCATTATGACACAATTTATGTCAGATTTGAAAAAAATACAGAAAATGCTGAATGATATTTATGAGTATGTATGTACTAGTAGTATAAGAACTTACATGGGCACAATAAACCTCAAAACAAGGATAGGGATCAGCTCTGACAAAAGAGGAAAATGGGATCGGGAAGGGTTCCACATGGGAATTTCAGCACTACCTCAAATGCTTCATTAGTTTTTTAAATGTGTGCAATAATGTGACAAAACGTTAGGATTTTATAAGGTTGAGTAGTGGGTACTTGGGGCTTATATCACTTTCTGTAATTTTGACTGTGACTTTTGGTAATAAATTTCAAGTAGATTTAATAACTGTACTTAATGGGGTATAAATAGAATTTTCTGATTAATTGGAGAATTATTTTAGTACATTAAAAAGTGGACACAATTATCGGTAGACTTGTTACTGCTAAAAATTGGCATACTCTAAAATACAATTAAATGTTCGGTTGTAAAACCATGCTCTTGCGATGATTGACATCACCATTATTAGCAACAGGTCTTATCCCACCGCTCTACAGTCAGAAAAGGTGGACTTTTCAGACCAGTGGGTGATGTTCTTAACATATCCGAGAGCTTCAAGGGTCCTTAGTTTCCTCTGATTTTCTTCTTTCACCTGTACCCCAAGTGCAAGTAAACAAGTGCAGTCGATTATTCTTTATCATTTCAGATGAGTTGAGTTCTAGTTTAACAAACATTAAAACTTTTTTTTAGTTTTTAGAAACGTCACAATGTGCTGTATGTATATAAGTCATGGGCTTTTGGATTAGAAAACCTGGGAGTGGGCCGGCCTCTGCCACTCTCTTCCCAAGGGCTTTGTATTAAGTATCTAATTTGGCCTGGGTTTCCCTACTCCTAGTTGGCCGTATCGGAGTGTAGGTGTGACAGCGTATACATCGGGTTCTCTACCATTGAAAACCATGTGGCAAACCCAAATGCCAGTGGGAAGCAGGGAGATAATCAGTACGTGGGTGAACCGTGGAGGCTGCCAAAATGAGAGTGTATGTCAGTTTTCACCAGCTGGCCTCTAATGCTACATTTGACAGATACTTCAGTTTTTCCTGAGAAATGAAGCATCTGAACTATATGTAAATATCCATTTTCTCATATGCTTTCAACTACTTGAAATTTTATTCAGTATCATATGGCCCAAACAGAATAAATATGGGCCGTGTATGGAGTTTAGGCTACCATTCATTGATTGATTTAATCTTTTAAAAACATCTACTTTGTGTCAGACCTTGTTCTAGAAAGTGGACATAGAGTGTATTCAAAGTCTTTGCTATAGCCGAACTTAGAGTCTGGTGTTCTAGCACCAAATAGAGGCAATAGGTAAGAAAGGCAGTATGAAATTACATAATAATTCAGGTAGGTAATCATAAGTGTTATGATGGGAATCTGATGAGTTTGGGGTAGGATGGGGTGGCAGTGGGTGCAGATCCTGTGGCTTCTTTGAAGAGGTGACATTTGAGCAGATTTCTAAATGTGGCATGAGTCAGCCTTGTGCAGATTTGGGAGAAGAACCTTCACTCCAAGCAGAGGAGAAAACAAGCATGAAGGCCCTGAGGGTGAATGAGTTGGGCTCTGGAGAGAGTCCCAGATGTAAGGCTTTTGTAAATGATTACAAAGAGCTTCCGAGTGTGTTGTTCATGTAACGCAAAGCCACTGGCTTGTGTTAAATACCCGGGTGATCCGATATCTGATTTATATATTTTTTATTTTTATTTTTTTTTAATTTTATTTATTTATTTTTAGAGAGGGATTGGAGGGAGAAAGAGAGAGAAACATCAATGTGCGGTTGCTGGGGGTCACGGCCTGCAACCCAGGCATGTGCCCTGACTGGGAATCGAACCTGTGACACTTTGGTTCTCAGCCCGCACTCAATCCACTGAGCTACGCTAGCCAGGCTGATTTATATTTTTTAAAAAAGCTTTCAGTGGCTCCTCTGGTTATCATAGACTCTAGAGGTTCAAAACAGAAGGAGAGAGACCAAGTGGGAGGCCGCTGCACTCTGGAGCGTGGACCCCCCTGGTCACGAGAAGAGAGGGGAGCACCTGCCACCTCTGGTTTGGGAAAAACCTCATTGAGATAAGCCTTGTGAGGAACATGCATATTTTTGTCATTTCTTTTGATCCTTCGTATGCAGGTATTGGTTGTATGAAAGAATTAGTAGGATTTCTCTGTCACCAGTTTTGAAACTAAAAATGTGATTACTTGTTTGGTCCTGTGAATTTTTGTTGTTTCCCCAAGACACTGAGCCTTAGACTTTTATCCATCTTTCATTTCTAGATTCTGTGGTGAACGTGGTAGAATCATTTCTGTAGAAAAATCTAAATATTGATTAGGTACTTAGTGAATTAAGTTAAAGAGTTGCTCTTCCTGCCCCCTCCCCCAAGAAACTTCATTTTGCAGGGAAGGATATAGATTTGTTTGCAGTTAAGATCTAGAAAATGGAGATGGGTAAAGAAAATAAGTTTTGTAGGATAAATTCTTACTATTCATTATTTTTATTCTCTACTTATCCCATATTTGTCCCTACAATGCAGTATCATAGTCAAATGTTGATTATTTTTACTTTTTTATAGTAGTTACTTTTGAGAGCCAGACCTTAAGCATTTAATTTGCTCTGATGGATTTTCACCAAGTTTTGCTACCAAACACTTCTAGTTTTATTTATTAATATAATATTGTGTGAAATATTGGTGTGAAGAAATTCCACATCTGGTTTTTCTTCAACACCTTCATAATTAAGCTTTTGAAATGAACTTTTTGAAAAACAAAACTTGAATAACAAAGCAACAAAGTGGCTTAGGACTAAAGACAGGATTACTTTTCCTTGGCAAAGCATTCTGAGCGCCTACGTCTGTCACACGGGATGACAAGAATTGTAACAAGTTACTCTGACAACCACCTACTCCACAGAGAGATTATGCCGAGTTCATTTGCAGGTTTGTCTTTAGCCTCCCTGACAAAATGATACTTAACCTCTTCTGCAGTCAGTCTTTGTGCTTTCTGAGTGAGTGACTGTGGCCTCAGCAGTGCCCTTTAGAAGGGTGATTTTTTTTAAAGTTATAAACTTCAGTATACTTTTTTCAAGTAAGTAAAAAGTAATTCTGGGTTCATCAAAATCATATATGAAACTGAACTGTATATGTGATCTGTAAGCAGGTAGGAAATTCTTTTCAGGAGTTCTTTCTGTTTAAGGTTTTATCTAAAATTTTCCATAATATGACTCAAAAAATCAGTCACTAAATAATTCAATATATATTTCCCAAAAAAAGAAATTATATCACTGCTCTAAGAAGCCCCCAAATATATTTATTTTACTCTGCTTCCTTCCCATAAGTTGCAATATGTTTTTTTGTCTCCTTTCAAATAGAAATTATTTTCCTTAGTAGAGCATTTTCTGTTTTAATTGGAGGGGAAAAGATTCTGTTTTTACTTACTTGGATTATTGTTTTCTTCACTAGATCCTGGCATATACAGAAGGGCTTCATGGAAAATGGCTGTTCACGGAGATACGATCAATCTTTTCTCGTCGTTATCTTTTGCAAAATACAGCCCTGGAGATCTTTATGGCAAACAGAGGTAATGTGTTGCAGAAGTCTGTTGTTACAAAGCTAACCTCCATCTCTTTAAGATTTCATTTTTGGATACACCATATTGTTTTCATTTAGGTAGTTTTTTTGTAGTCCAACCCCTGCCCTACTGACCTCTTTTCTGACCCACATGCATCTTCATGGCCTCCCCGCTTGGTCATTCTGAGAATTATTTGTAGTAGTTTTATTTTCCTGGCCATGTAACAAATTAGTTCAAGGATTTATGAATATGGGGAATAGCTAAGCATTTAATCCATTTTGGAATTTTGATGTACTCAGTATTGCTCTGATGCTTAGCTCCTGGAAGGTGGCTGCGTTTGGAGAAGGGAGAAGGGTAATCAGATGATTCATACATTTATTTAATTTTTCATCTAATCTGTTGCCATTTATAAAGGGGCCATCAGAAAATGGTCCTGAACTGTCCTGGTTGTTTCTTATTACATCATTCTTGAAAGAACTAAAATTCAATTTGTGGGTTTAGACGGGAACTTGGTGAAATTCATTAAGACAAGAGGGAGGGACAAGGTGAACTTGAGGGAAACGCACCGTTCAGTGTGAGTGGAGGCGCACGGGGAGACTGTAAAACTTAGTGCCTTATCCCAAATACTCCTTGTACCAAAGTCGGTTGAAGGGTTTTTTTTTTTGTTTGTTTGTTTTTTAATTTTCTCTTTCTATGGCCTGCAAGTTGCCATTCAAAAAAAAAAAAATCTACACAGCATAACACAGTCAGTGCGCACCTTTCTTTTTTCTTTTATGAAATGGTGTGTCTTTAGGGGATACAGGTTTCTTTAGGTAAAGATGTTTATCCCTTTCCTGTTTGGTCTCTTCCCCTGCACATGCCCTTTTTCTTCGTGTAAACATTATTCTTCCAGGCAGATAATCACGTGAATGTTTCACATTTTAGTCCAGTCTGCATTCTTGCCTGCTGTCCCAGAGGGCTTTCAAACTTATAATATGTATTGCTTATTCATTCTCATTCATTTTTCTTCTTTGCAATTTCTTATGCATCCTTGCTTTTCTATGTGTGTTTTCCTGTTGCCTTTTCCTCAAGATCTAGGCCATTTGCCATAGTCTGTGATAGTTTTTCTTTTGTTTTTTAATTTTTCCCTGTATTCAGTGTAATAATGAGTACATAAGGAAGGCTTATTAAAAAGGCATGTTGGGTACGTATATATGGTGCTCTAAATATGTTTTCATGAATGATTATGTACTTTTTACCTGAAACATGTAGGTAATGCCAGGGTTTGAGAGCTAGGTGAGCACTCATAGCTTATATATGATTCTGATACTGAAATGGATATAAATTCTCTCTCATGATTTTATGATTGTTATTTTCGTATTTTTAAGGACACACACTTATAGATATCTAATATGTTAACACATATATGCTAAATATGTTTATATATATTGGTGTATGTGTCTTGATATTCTCAAAATGTATACTTATTGAAATAGATATGATTAGAAAGCATTTAAATTCAATTAGTAACAATAGAGGAAAATTTTTCCTTTAGGTCACATATTATTCTGGATTATACGAACATAAAAATATAAACACATAAACATTATAAAGAGAATGCTTGTAAAACTGTTCATCATTGAAAGTAAATATAGCTGACAGTTTAGTAGCTGTATCTGTACTCTTTTTGGTATTAGATTGTTAACTATATAAAGTTAAAATTTTAAACAGTTTTTATAGAAATTCATAGATATATAGTTAATTTGCCAAAATTCAGTTTTGTGAATTCAGCATGTTAGCTAGATAATCTCAGCTTCATGTCCCACTAACGCAACAACCGATGTCATGATTCTGACAGTACTCAGAGGAGGAACTGTCTGTGGTATAGGAGCTTATCAGTGAAGTGAATATTACCTTTGATACATTAATACTAAAACTTTCCTACACTAATCAAAACAATGTGCCAAGAATTGTATTTAAGAAATACTTGAACTAAAAATAAAGAGAAGGGAAATTATATTACATTCTAATTTTTAAAAATTATTTTTCATAGTTGCTGTAATGTTCAACTTCCCAGACCCTGCAGTAGTTAAAAAAGTGGTTAACTACCTACCTCGTGTTGGTGTGGGAACCTGTTTTGGATTGCCTCAAACCAGGTACTCTTGGATATGAAAAAAATATGGAAAATAATCTGTATTAATGTGTTCTTGTTTTAAAATGCAGGAGCTTATATTTTATGTTTCATAGTAAGTGATTATTGGTGCATTATTTTGATTCAACTTTGGTCTGAAGAAACTAGAGAAAGAGGAGTAAATGTAAACCAAAGTGAGCAGAGAAAAGATAATAGTAAGCATAGAGGCATAATAACATCAATGAAAAAGTAAGCAAATACAATAAAGAAAAAATAATTTAATGAAAAGTTATTTTTCTGTAAAGATTAGTAAACATATATACAGCCCTGGCTAGTGTGGCTGAATGGATTGAGTGCTGGCCTGTGTACTGAAGGGTCACTGGTTCAGTTCCTAGTCAGGGCACATGCCTGGGTTGTAGGCCAGGTCCCCGGTAGGGGGCTCCCAAGAGGCAACCGCACAATGATGTTTCTATCTCCCTCCTTTCCCCTCTCCCTAAAAATAAATAAATGAAATCTTAAAAAATAAAAATAAACATATATACAAAAACCTATAAATAAAAAGAAAGAAAATACAAATTACCAATAGCGAGAATGAAAGAGAAGATATCACTGTTATTTTCTTAATGTTATTGTAATGTTAATGTTAGTGTTAATGTTAATGTATTAATGTTATTAATACATTTTTGTTAACTAATTTAAGAGAGTGGTAAGACTGAACCAGTGGTTTTTTTCTGTTGATTGCTTGAAACGTATTAGCTGTAGCAATTCAGTTTACTTTCTGCATACCTAATTTTGTACTGATTTGAGTTGTGTTGATTAGTGTTCATTCCAAAAATTGTTAGGTAATATCTTGTTACAAATGCACTTGAAATAGAATGAATAAACAACAGTCAGGATGTTAGTCATCCTGGGCCTGGAGAACTTTCCAAGGTGAAGCCCTCCTCTTGGCAGTACTTGGTTCCCCACCAAGTCTGCCTCTCTTGGGGCTGCATGGGTGTCTGCTCCACGTGGGGGCTGACTTTCCCCAGAGCAAGTGACCCAAAAGAATGAGGCAGAAGCCCCAGTGTCTTTTCTATGACCTACCTTTGTTAGTCATGTGCCATCTTTACTACACAGTACTTGTTACAAGTGAGTCCTTAAAGACAGCACAGGCTTCAGGGGAGAGGAATTGAACTTCACCCTTTGAAGAGAAAGTATCAAAGAATTTGTGGGCTTATTTTAAACCACCACAGATCATAACTTTTACATAAATAAGGCACAAAAAGTGGCCCTTCTGGATTATAAGCAATAGTTGCTTTACAACATAAATCAAGGCTTTGATTAGATAATTGTATAATTTAATGGGAACTTTCAGGGTTCAGAAGGAAGCAACTCAGAATTGTATGGTAGATTTTCATATCTTAATAATAAACATCTTTTTTTCCTACTGATTATCTCTTTATTACAAAAAAAATTCATTACCTAATATGTGTCATCATACTTGGGACTTTTTGTAATGTTTTCTAACAATTAAAACTAAGAGTCTTAACTCAATAAATGAGTCACTTGAATAGATTTTTAGCACTTACAATGGTATATTCTGTATTCATACAATACAATACTATTCAGCAATCAAAATAAGTGAACTACTACTAATACTCCTACTCACTGCTGAACCTCAAAAAACATACAGTTAGTAAAAGAAGCCTGATGCAAAAGACTGTATGATGTCTAGTTCTATTAACCTGAAATGTCCAGAAAAGGTAAGTTTATAGAGACAGAAAGCAGATCGATAGTTGCCTAGAGCCAGGGAAAGGAATGGTGATTAACTATAAATATGCACAAGTTCTCGTAATGAAAATGTTCTCAAGTGCATGGTCGTGACAATTGCACAACTCTAGAAATTTACTTTTAAAAAAATCATTGAGTGGTACAATTACAATGAGTAAATTTTGTGGTATGTAAGTTATACCTTCATAAATAAAAGCTTTTAAAAAGATAGCAATGTTGCCCTGCCCTGCCCTGCGTGGTTCAGTGTGTTGGGTGTCATTCCACAGAGAGTGGTCAAAGCTGGTTGATTCCCAGTCAGGGCACGTGCTTGGGTTGCCCACTGGTCCCCAGGTGGGGTGCACGTGAGAGGCAATCGCTTGATGCTTCTCTCTCACATTCATGTTCCTCTCCTTCCCTTCTCTCTCTAAAAAGAAATAAGTAAAATCCTTAAAAAAGATATCTACCCCATCTTAATTGTAGAAGAACTCTGACAACATACTTACCTGAGATTCTGTGCCCTGAACATAATAATTAATCCTGCTACTGGTTTCCCAGTCCTACTTATTATTGATCAATTATATCCATTGTTATTTATATTGGGTTAAGAAAACAGAAAACTTGGGTCTTCAATTAAGCAATATCAAAAGTTTTTCTTATCTCTATCCTGCCCCTAGAATGAACAGCTAAAAAGTTTAGAGTCCTCTTTGCCCCATTACAAAGGGTGTGCAAACATAATATTTAGCTGTATAGTACACAAATGTGTTGTCTTTATGTAATGATTATTAAAATTGATAAAGATATGAATACATTTTATATGCATTTCTCAGTTACTGTAATACCTGTTCTAGCAGTAAAGCAGTAAATTATTAATTGTTATTATTAATCAACTCAATGGAACCTAGATATTATTATGGCATCATAATGACAGTTTATTTTAATGAATAGAACGTGTGTAATAGACCTGTGGCTGGTCCAAATCATTTGTTTAACCAGTAATTGTGGATTGAAACAGCTCTAGAATTCATTAGTATTGCATGAATGGAACTTTTCAGAATATACAGATGTCATTTTGAATAAGCAGAGGTAGTCATGACTTCTTATTGTGGTATAATCTAAAGTTTAAATTGATTCTATGTCAATTTCCTTTTTTGCAGGCGCATCTCATTAGCTAGTCCACGTCAGCTTTTTAAAGCTTCCAATATGACTCAGCGGTGGCAGCACAGAGAGATTTCAAATTTTGAGTACTTGATGTTCCTCAACACGATAGCAGGTGATCTGAACTCGCACGTGGACTTACTTCAAACGATAAACTATTCATTGTGGCATGATTAGGTTATTTTCATCACTGGTGCATAGCTTATTTTTATTTTTATTACTACATGAATATACCTTATCAAGAGTAATTTTTATAGTAGGGTTGAAAGTTTTATATATGAACAGTTAACTTCCTGATAGAAATTAAACATGGGTTTACACAGTCTTTTTCAAAAACATAAAATGAAAATTTACAGCTATTCAGTGTAGTCAGAATGGACTCAGTATGGAACAGAAGGAATGAATAACCATAAAAATCTTAAGAATCTATTAACTTAATTGGAAGTGTAGTATATGATGAAACAATGAAACACATCACAGAAAAAAGAAAACTGAGGGTACAATAGTAAGTAATGGAAGATTACGACCCACACATGAAAGTCTGAAGACAGAATGGCCCAGTACATGATCTATAATGATATCACATTACTGAAGACCACCCATTGAAACTGTTCATTCGTAAAGACTAAAGAATAGAAATGTGTGATCATTAGAATAGAGAGAGCAGGAAACGTCATTATGAGGTATTTGGGATTTAGGTTGGTCAAGACGCCGATGCAGTTTATGTTTGAGGCACAGAGGTGACGCACAAAGGGCATAAGGCGTGTTGCTTACTCTCACAGAAGTTACTGTAAATGTGAGCATTTATGTGATTCTAGTCAAGTGAGTATGGGTTCAATTAAAAAATACAAAATAATAATGGGATTACAAGGGTCATCCAGTTGGTCAGAGTTAGGAAAAAATGAAGACAGTGTTTGCATAAGGATAGATAGTACTTTAACTAACAGAGGAGGTATTTGAGAGAGTAGAAGATGTTTTGTGGAAAACTGAGGGATAAGCAGTAGAAAAGATGGAGAAGTGTGAAGTGAAGGTAGAGTACGGTTAATGGTGTAGTTTTATGCACGCGCAAGGTACATATTGTATATAAAGTCTTCCCCCTGTTCATGGGGCACATGTTCCAAGACCCCCACAGATGCCTAAAACCACGGGTAGTACTGAACCCCACTTATATTATATTTTTTCCTGTATATACATATATTTTATGGCTTCTCTCTGGCATATCCTGATTGCTCTTGTGCTTTGAAGACACTGAGGGAAATAAGTGATATTTGAACACGAGCTCTGAAATGTCTCTACGGTTAGTCTGGTAACCGAGGTGGCTGCTAAGTGACTGAGGGGGGAGCGTCTGCCGTGTGGATACGCTGGACAAAGAGGTGGTCCGTGTCTCGGTGGGACCACGCGGGATGGTGGAAGATTTTGTAACATTACTCAGAACAGCATGCAATGTGTAAAACTCAAGAATTGCTTGTTTCTAGAATTTTTCATTCAGTGTTTTTGGACCGTAGTTCACCAAGAGTAACCAAAAATGTGGAAAGGAAAACCATGAATAAAGGGGACTACCATGTACATGCATATATATGTGTATGTGTGTACATAAAGTATATGTTTCTAAATGTATAGTGAAAAACGAAACTGAAAAGGTTGTATGGAAAAGTGGGAGATTTTTTTGTCTCTTTGAGGAGTCAGTAGTCAGTTCACTGGGAAACTTGTGAAGTGTTTGAACCAAGGAGTGGTATCAGCACTGTGTGGGAAGGTAGCCTGGAGGCAGAATGAAGCTGGTAAGTTGGAGTAGAGAGAGACCAGGCAGGGAGCAAATTTAGGGAGCAGTTATATGTAAAAAAGTCGTACGGGCCTGCATTAGAGAGACGACGCTGGGAATTAAAACATAATATTAAATAACAGGAATTTACAGGGCACAAACCATTTGACACCAGCTAACCATGTCATTGATGGTCATTTGTTTGGAGGAAGCGCAGGAGTCTGTATGGCAGCTTTTGGGAATGGGGGAAGCAGCATTGATGATGCTGTGCATCGTGTTCAGAGGATTAATGAACTTGAAAGCTGTCACAGAAATTCCAGCGTACTTCGGGACAACTCTGATTTTACAGATGAATGATGAATGCCCGCAGGGCTCAAATTACTTAAACCTGGTTGATTGGTTAATTGATGGCAGAGATATGAATCTAGTTTTGAAAAGCTCTATGAGAATTATAAACTTTTTAAAAGTTTTAATAAAAAATATTTTAATTGGTACAGGCTTTCAGGTAACAAAAAGGAGTCAAGTGTAGTTTATAAGAACATAAACTTGGAGGCCAGAGTATCTGGATTTGAATACAATTCAACCATTACTAGTATAGCATTTTTGGACAAATTACCTAACCTTTTTGTGCCTCAGTTTTTTCATCTGTAAAATGGGGATGATACTAATTTCATAGGGCTCTTGTGAAGATTAAATGAAATAATGTATGGATAGCACTGCGAGCAATAGCTGGCACTCAAAAACTGTCATTATTCTTAGTGAATTATACTCCTGGATCTGCTTATCATTTTTTTATTCTAGACTGAGTAGTTTTTTTTTTTTCCTCTGCCAGGACGGAGTTACAATGACTTAAATCAGTATCCAGTGTTTCCCTGGGTCATCACTAACTACGACTCAGAAGAGTTGGATCTTACCTTGCCAAGTAACTTCAGAGATTTATCCAAGGTAATTTCTTAGGAATCATCTGAAATATAATTGTTTTACACTTAAAAACATATTTGATGATATTAATTTTCACATTCCTTTTTAAAAATCATTTAATATAATTGTAACTTTAATATATTTATCTTTTAAATGTATTTTAGTGTTCTCAAATTTAAAAGTGAAAAATGTGCATGAAAAACTTGATGGGAATTACAAATATTAAGTTATGTTTTTTCCATACACACTTAAGAAGACATTATTTGCAAACAGCAACTTCTGAGGGTTTTAGCATTTGGTAAAACATATCAAGAAAATCACAAAAACTTCTCACCAGTGTCCTTTCAAAAGGATGAAAGCCCCCTGCTACTCCTAGTCTCCTGACCTCGTTGCTGTCTTTCCCTTTTCTCATCCACTCCTTGTTAAAGCAAAATGGATTCTTTTTAAGTCTGATGTTGAATTATATGAGTCCAGTGCTTAAACTTTTCTTGACTTGTCACCGAATGCAGAATAAATCTTTCCCAGTCAGAGCTTTGCCTTCTCTGCCTTCAGTGCTTGTCTCCCTGCTTGGTGAGTGGCTGGCGCTCTCTCTGCCCTGAGGCCAGCTGCTCACCAAGACCCTGACTGGCTGCCGCTCTCCCCTGGCGCTCTGCTCCCTGTGTCTTTCCGAGCACTTAACGTGTCCTGCCTTTTACATATCCTTCTACCCACTCCGTTGGTTCTTATTTGCAATGACAGAGTTCTTGTCATAATTATTTTTCCCATGTCCGGCACAGGATGTGCCGTCAGTGAGTGTTAAGTGAATTAAATAATATATGTGACATTTTCCCCAAGGTATAAAGTACTATTATTAAGTATGTTTGATTTTTAAAGTGTAAAACATGTAAACAAGGGAAAAATTACTGCTAATTTACAACGAATCAATAAGGAATAATTACATCAGATGGACACACTGTATTCTTTAACTTTCTCTATATATTTCCCATATATTTAGGTATTCTTCAAGAATTTTCCTTTTCTGTCCTGAAGTATCAATGAACAGAATATCCTAAATAATCATTTTCTGATATAAAATAAAATTTATATGTCTTTTTTTTCTTTTTAGTTTTTTATTATGGTGTATTTCAAGTATATACAAAAGCAGACAAAAGACGATAATGCATTCCCATCTACCAGTCTCATCTACCTGATAGCTCAACAGCTATCAGGACGTCGTTACACTTCATTTTATCTTCACTCTCATTTTCTTTCCCCCTTCTCATGTGACTCTGAAGGAAATCCCAGAAATCATACCATTCCATTCATAAATATTTTAGTACGTATGTCTCAAAACTAGGGCCTCTTTTTTAAAGCACAACTATATTACCCTTAGCAATCCTAAAATATTAACTATAATTTTTAATATCATCAAATATCTAATAGATACCACATTCTGAATTGAATTCCAACTTTTATCATCCTTTTTAGTTTGTTTATTTAAATCATGACCCAAATAAGTGCCACACAGTGCAATTAATTGGTATATCTCTTAAATCCCTCTTTTTTCTGTGGGATTTTCTTGCATCTTTTTTTCTAGTTAAGTAATTGAAAAATATAGTTTGTCTTACTCATTTCTTTCTTTTTAAAAAAGCTTTTTGAACACACAGTTAAAGTGTTTTTTTTTTAAGGTGTCTTTTTTTTAAAGATTTATTTATTTTTAGGGAGGGAAGGGAGGAAGAGAGAGAGAGAGAGAGAGAGAGAGAGAGAGAGAGAAACATCAATGTGCAGTTGCTGGGGGCCGTGGCCTGCAACCCAGGCATGTGCCCTGACTGGGAATCGAACCTGCGATGCTTTGGTTTGCAGCCCGCGCTCAGTCCACTGAGCTATGCCAGCCAGTTCTTAACTCATTTCTCAGTGTGGATTTTGCTTATTCCATTCCTGTGGTGCAGTCTGACAGGTTCCTCTGTCTTCTGTATTGCTTATAAATTGGTAGTTGGTTCTAGGGGATGACAGAATTCAGATTAGATATTTTTGGCAAGACTGCTTTGTAGGAAGTTTTGCATTCTCGAGTCAAAGGTATGTAATGTTTATTTTACTTCTCATTTTTGTTGTTAGCGGCCAATGATACTTAATGCCGGATTTGTTGGTTTGGTAAGGACTGCAAAATGATGGTGTTTAAATTCTGTCACTTCTGTTTCATTTATTACTGGGGACCCTTCTGTAAGGAGACACTTGCTTTCACTTACTATTAGATCAGCAGGATTTCCCAGGTGACTGTGAGGAATAATAAGTGGATAAATGGTTGTTTTGGTTTTTGTTTTTCTTAAAAAAAAAAAAAAAGAAAAGGAAAGGAAAGGAAAGCCTTACTACAATTAGGTTCTTAGACCCTGCAGTACTTCCCTGGAATCTGTAGCCCTCTCTGGTCTACACTGAGGACTGTATTAGTTTGGCTTGTGTGATGAGCTGCAATTGGTCAGTAATAAACACTGGGCAACTATTTAATGCTCGGGTAATTGTATCCTATCTCTCCATTATTTGAATTTGATGTACATTAAAGTACAAATCTAATTTTTCATTAATGCATTAAAAAATAAAGTGTGCTTCACAAAATAAATTACATTTCAATAAATAACCTTTCTAGAGTTCTAGAAGAATTGCTCTTTTTCCCCCCTAACCGAGTCCTTCAATTAGGACTTTTATTGAAGCACAGAGCTTATTAAGACTGTTCTGTGCTTTAGAGGATTTTTTTGTAGGCTCCTCAAGACACGGTGGGTAGTAAGACAGATTGCGGACAGGGTACATGCTTCTGTGCTGATGGAACAGTTACTAATGGTGATAAGTGGGAGGCTGTTGGGGTGTTTCTGCTGAGACTGTGTTTCTGTCTTCTGCCATCACTGTCCTCGGGCAAGAGCTCCAGTAAACCTGTTACCTCCTCATCTCACTGTTCCCTGCCAACCGCTCCATTCTCTGACCCTCGACTTTGTTCTCTGTCCCACGAAAAATCTTACCTGACCAGAAGACAGCCTCCAGACATCTATTTTTAAACGTCGGCTTCATGGTGTTTTCATCATGAGAATTCATAGAAATGATGTTAAGAAAATGCTGTCATAGATTATTTTCCAGCCAAACAGAATCCTTTTTTAAAATTGAATTTTATTTGTATATTACACCTGTTTCTAAGGAACTTGCCAAATACTTCTGTTGGATGGGTAAAAGACTGCTTTAATAACGCTTCTGTTACCTTCTGTATGTGATAAACAGGGCTGTTTTTTATGCCCCACAAGATGAACAACAGTCATTTCCTTTCTCATTTTTTTATAGAGCAAAAGTAACAAGGGGCGGGCCCAGCTTCAGAACCAGAACAAGAGCTGCTTTCCTTAGTCTCTGTCTGTGTCTGTTCACATCCGCTGTAGAAACACGTACACACATCACTTTTGTGTTGAGTGCCTTTGCTTGTATCTATTTTTATATTATGAGATTTTGTGGGATATTTGTATGCTGGGCTGAGGAAGGAGTGTTTATAAAGAGTGTCTTCAACCAGAACTGAAGGCTACACAGTTGAGCAGCAAACAGTAGTGCACGGGAGGAGCGGGGAGCTCTGACACTAGCCACAGACAGGTAGCACCTCCTTTCCTATCACACCGCGGGAGCGCGAATGCTGCACTCATTCCAGTTCGTGAAAATGGAATTCCACTAGTGCTGATTGTTTTCATTAAATATTGATGGACATAAGTGAGTTTGGAATTAACTACATTATTTGTACTGAAATAACCATGCATATCAGATACTTAAAATTGTAATTTACATGTATAGAATAATGGTAATTATTTATAAAAACATCTCACTTATGTTGGTATGAAAGTCTGCCATAATGTTTACAGTGTGATTCAGTTTTCAAATGTCTGTTTATTCACATACTTTCAGGAATGCATCTCGTACGTGAAGTGAGCTGTATCTCCATGAATAATGATTATAATAGAATTATATTAACATTTGTCCTTTAGTATATACATTTAGCAAACATTACTATTTGTTTAAATAAACTTGAAAAATTGAAGAAAACATTGTGTGTAAAGCTTAATTTAAAACATAAACAGATCTTATTCCCATTCTTAAATAAATAATATAGCTTGACTAGCTTTAAAATGTATTGAATTATTTACACATATTTATTTCCCTTTAATTTCCCCAAAGCTGGTTTGCAGAGGGCTTTTTGATACAAAGCTACAGTTTTGTTTGGTAATCTCTTCCATGTTGCACAGAGAATCTTCTTTCTCACGCCCAATTAATGTAAACAACACCCTTCTGTATTATTTTTTTTTGAACATTTTTGAGAAAAGCAAAAGTCTGCATAGAATAATGTAAAATTGTATTTTGTAAAATTTTATTTTATGTAGAACTCTTTTTATAATAATTACAAATTGGTATTATCAGTCTTTTAGGAAATTGAATCTATTTTTGTCTGAAAATTTGATGAAAATTAAATCTTTCCTTGTATTGAGAAAGTTCTCATTTAATGTAATGATTTAATTTATTATTTCAAAGCTAAACAACAAGTAGGGATTGATTTTGAAGTTGATTTTTTTCCTTCTCCTTTCCCAGTTTTTTCATCATGAGTCTAAAATTCTGACTGATGAGAAGACAGATGTAATCATGCATTGACTTTGGAGTGATGTTGATTCATATTTTATAAATATATATTGATTTTTATATTTTGACAACCCCCTTGACAGAAATAAGAGGCAACATTTTCTTTTTGTCCTTTATAAGAAATTATAATTAGGGCAGGAATATATTTACAAAATGTCAGACCATAAAAACAAATTGTGATGGCTGAGCGGTTCAGTACCAGGTTTCCTTTGTAGATGAGGAAGATTTTCTTTGCTACCATGATTTATTTATTTTTTCTTAGTAGGAGATGGATTGTGTAAACCAGTTTTCTAAGAGAGGAAAAAAAGATAATCTGAGGCAGTCAGTTCTCTTCTCATTGGTCCACACAGTTATTTTTAGAATATTAAATATGTTGCAAATACTGTAATCTGGGT